TAGCACTCGTTTTCCGTGTTGCATCTGTAGAGGCTGGAGGCTAGCCCCAGGGGGGAGGCCCGGCATCGTCTAGCCGAGGCCTGCAAAAGAAACCCCCACTTCAGTGTACAGATGCAACGGGCAACAGGCGCAAGCGGAGTAGATGTCCCCCAACGCGGGCGGTGCATCTGGCCTCGGCGGTGTTGTGTAGGCTGGGCTGATTATCTAAGCTGAGACAGGCATCATGCTCAGAGGCTTCGCTGCAGACTCCAGTCGAATCTTTCCTCTCGCATCTGCGAGTCAAGGCTATGTTCCGTTCTTGTGGCAGGCGAACGGGGGCTCTTCCCCTTTGGCTGAGGCTGTCCAAGATGCCGAGGCTTCCGCTGAGGCTAGCATACTGAGTGAAATACGAAGGCGCTCCTGAGGCCGATGGGCAAATGCCTCCAGGCGCCCTCTGCTGAGATCGTCGGCCCACTCATTGTGGGCCCCGGCCACATGGGAAACTTGGAGATGAACACTGTTGGCTGAACTCCAGGAGGCTATGAGGCCCAGGAACACGGACAAAGGCCAGCTTGTAGTGAATAGCTTGTTGACTCCCCCTTCTGTGGGTGAATTGTCACTCTGAGTCGGCAGGCAGAGGCTGAGTCTAGTCTGGCCGTGATAGACTTTGGCCGTCATGGCCAAGGCTAACTGGGCTAAGGTCTCGAAGCAAGCTATATACTTTTGGGCGTCCTTGGAGAGGAAAGGCCAGTACGCTCTGATCTCTTGCATGTCGTAGGACTCGGCGAACCAGGCCAAACTGTGCTTAGTCGACACCCAGCCTCCTATGCCTACTTTATCCCCTGGTCCATGGCATCGGCTCGTGCTAGGCTTGGCAGCAAAGGCGGCAGAGCCAGAGGTGTGGTGGGTATCGACTGTATCCTGGGAAGGAGCCACCGAAGGCTGTCCTGGGCTGCCTTAGTGAGTTTAATGATCGGGCACCAGGGGTCTGATACTCGGATCCAGTGGTTTCTTGTAGGCTTCGGGAAGTTCGGCAGATCGGCTTTGCAGTGTATCTGCTTGCTTCCCACTTCTATGATACGCGACTGCATAGGCAGGTTGACACCGATCAATTCTCTGACCACAACGGCTCTCGAGTCGAGGCAGTGAAGGAAGGCCGGCCACATCAACAGTGCCTCGGCCCTCGGCAGTCAGCTTTCCTGCTGGGCAAGCGGCCATTGTTTCGAAAGCCAAACGCTCGCACTCGGGCGCATTGGCATCGGGAGGCCGCGCCGCGCCAACAAGTCAGGATTCATTGTGCCACCTTTTACACCCTCCTGAGGCTTAAGGTCGGGAAGCGGAGGCGGCCACACGGGTACCCCAACGGGACTATCCTCAGGAAGAGTAGGACCTGAATGTGCCTCGGCATCTGAACTCACCCCTTGCACAGAGATGCTGAGCACCTTGCTGCCTGCAGGGATCTGGTCCATGGTATGCGACAGCTGCGCCCCAACAGGAGGCGTCCAAGGCTTAGAGATGACAGCGTTCCGTGACAAACCTCGGAGAAGTTCTTTGTCACAGCAGCCCGTGACTTGCACACGAAGTTTAAACTCGGGCACCAAAGGCAAAACTCTTTTGCTGGCCTGCACTCCTGTATAAGCGCGAGAGCCCATGATCAAATTGTCAAGGTCCTGAAGACGCTGAGGCGAATCGCCGCACCCAAGGTTCAGCAATTGCTTACGCACAAGGGCAGACATTTCTCGCGCGAGATCCCACGGGTAGGAAAGCTCGGTGACAGCTTTTGCGAATGCCCAAGTTTCGTGCCCGTGCTTACCGCCACAAGCCCGCTCTAAGCAAAGGAACTCCGGAAGGGAGTGCACAAGCAGGGTGGCTTTCTTGCGGGCATGGCCAAACATGCATTGATGAAACGTGGTTGCGAAAATTGGAACGTCTGTGAAGAAATCTTATTTCCTAGCTTTCGTTTCCCGCGAAACTTTATGATAAACAAAAGTTTCGCTATTCCAAAAATCGCAAAGTAAACTATGAAATTCAACAAGAGGATATAATTCCTCAGCACGAATATGTATAATATAATTTATGAAATATTCCAAATAGTCAGAACACAGCAGAAAGCGAAGTCGGACAGCGGTGGCCTTCTTTTTTCCTCCTAGGAACGCGTGGGGTTCAGTGAACAGCTCTGTCATGCCATCTCGGCGAACTCTGTCCTTTCACACCCCGCGCCCAAGGAGAGAGGAGCCACTATTTAATGGCAAGTGCAAACACTTCAGAGGGATCGCACCTCTTTCTCTCGCCCCAAGACGGACGGAGCACACCGCGGGAAGGTTCATCCGCAACGTTGCTCGAGGAGCAGACTCTCTCGAACCACACAATGCAATCAGAAAGATCAAGAATCGTGTGGACTAGCCTCACGATGGCATCGCCTTCAAGATTTTCTGAGTGACCCTTAATCATCGAACCCAGAGCACCGTTGTTGTCAGTGTAAACAACAAGGTGCTTACCGGAAAGGTGCGAATGCCACAAGTGGAGGGCGCACAAGATGGCCAGGCACTCAAGCTCGAAGATGGGATTCCCGCTCTTCCTAACATTGATGGCTGCAAGGGCCGATTCATCAAGCATCTCGGAGTAGTACTCTCGGTAACGCCCAGAGCTATCAAGCAAGATGCCTCCGAGCCCAGCTGGTTCAGTAGAGCCCGGCTCATGGCAGGCGTCCACGAAAATGTGCACCGTCTCATGTAAGGCTGTGGAAACTCGCCGGGGCCTGCCTTTGAACATTCTGTCCTTAAGGAACTGCAAGTGTGCCCTGGTCGAGGAGCCAAGCTTCCCGCCCCCCGCAAGGACGTGTCTGGTCAATCCCCGGAAGGCGTGCTGGGAAAGCTTGCCGAACAGTTGGCCATCCATGAAGTTGAGGCGGCCTCTGAGCCGCTCGCCATCCTTCGCAGAAAGGAAGTTGCTTTCACGACATTTGTCTATCTCGGATGATATATCCTCAACCCTTTTCGCCGTATTCTTGATGACTAGGGTCCCAGCTTGGTCTCTTCAAGATTGTACTCGAGGCCTAGGATCTTACAGACACTGGCGAAAGGGGAGTTTTTCTCTGAGTGATGTCTCCCATCCCAGAAGCGTGAACAAGAAGTCGACACCCATTTGTGCGATGGGGCAGGTATGCTCAGACTCACTGGTTGGGAAATCGTCGAAGTATGAATACCAGTGCAGCCGCAGCATGCTGACTCCAGCCAGCCATAAGGCTGCTGAAACTCTACAAATCCGTGGACGCTGGATCGAGCCCCGAAGGGCAAGACAAATTGTCCGAAGATTTGCGTCGTCTGGGAGCTTGGGTCGTAAACGCACAAGTAGCTCTCATGAAGAGATGATTCATGGAGCGGCAGATTTTTGTATGCCTTACGAAGGTCCCACGCCTTCATCAGCAGGCTGCGGGACTTGCCCGCATCGCGGTTAGCCTTCATGTCAAATGCGATGCCTGCAGCGATGGTGTCTGCACTGTGTATGCTGATGGTCTCGTTGGCGGAGGTGGTCAAGTTGACAAGACTCTCACGATAATTATCTATCGGTCTACATTTCCTTTGATCACCGGACGATTGCCATATCCCAAACCTCCTGGTAAGTACGGCGTCCTCGGGTAGAGAAGATGCGGAGACAGGGCCCCACAGCCAGCCTCGTTCAAGCTCGTCTTTTGTGGCGTCGTAGGTGGCAGTGTCAAGTTCGGGATCGTCGCTGCTCTTACAAGTGCTTAAGATGTACGACCTCATTTTACTCGAGGTGGCTTTAAGCTCATCGGTGGACATCGAAGCTGTGGTCCTCTTGGCACGGAAGACATGTGAATCCGGTATGGCCCCACTCAACCGAAAGCCCTGGGAGACCTCATCAACCAAAGTGACGTCGCCATGGCCGCAGGTGTCAAGAATTTCTTTGAAGAGACACAACCTCTTAGAACTAAGAACCCGTTGGCAATGCGATGGCATGCTGCACTTGTAATCAAGCTCGTCCTAATTGAGATCGCGGGCACGCGAGGCCCACTGGCGCAGTGTTGCAGTCCTGAACTGGCCGAGTGACGCGGGGCTTTCTGACGCATTCTTCTGGATGACTTCCTGAAGCAAGGAGGGGATCCCTGTAACGATGTTACCCGGATGATTAGCATTGCATGCTTTGGTGACAAACTCTTCAGGGATCCACGGGATTCCTACAGTGACGATTCTGCTGGGTGAACAAGAGGGATCAGCTCGGAGCACGCGGTTAGGGTTACTCAGGAACCCTAGGTCTCTGAGCTCGTCAGCATCCTGAGGTCGAGGAGAAGCTGTGTCTCTAAGAGTGTAGGCCGATATGATTATTCGGTCACCAACCCAGGGCTCCGTAGAATGGTAGAGATTCTTGGCGTCAATGGTAAGGGGCTTACCATCAAAGTTGAGAACCATTCCGGGGAGGGACTTATCTCCTACAGACCTGACATCGGGGCCATTGGGATGCTCGATCCAAACACCGCCCTTGTCAAAGCGGCTGACTGGGATGATGATGTTGTCCTCGCCAGCATTGGCGATGTCTCTGCGGGGTTCGGTCCTGGTGTTCACGAGGACCACAGCAGAAGTAAAGTGGGAGGAAAAGCCAACGGAAGCAGATTGCTCGGCCTCAAACCTCGAGATCGCCTTGTTACTCCACGGGTGAGTTCGACAAGACTTATGTAAGCCTACAATCCCACCCTTGATGTACATTCCAGCTCTGAAAGATCCATCACTCTCGCACTTGCCGCGGCGGGAGGCCTTGAGAGGAAGGGATCGGCACAGTCGTTCCATGTCACACAAGGCAATGGGGCCTGGCTGCATCTCCACGTCGTCACGAGGAGAATTGCAATCGGCAGGGCTGTCAAGGGGGGCCTTATCGAGACTAGGGACCTTCTTATCATCACTCTGGGCATTTAAGGAGGGACCGACAATGAAGTAACAAGGACGTGTTGGGGCGAGGACCGCCGTAGGCAATGATCGAAGGTCGTGCATAAAAAAGGCAAGTCTATGGAATGCAGCGGATGCCCAAACATGCGACTGCGCTGGATTTTCGCAACTAACAGGGACACCGGCATTTAGGGTCTGGGACATGATATGCCCCGACAGCTCCCAAAGACGATTTATGCGCAAAATGCGCTCATGCAGCGCAGAGTCTGACTCTCGCAGACAGAGATTCCCGTCCGGATGTTAAGAGAGCGCCCTGGGGTGCTCGGCGGGCGAAACATACACAAATTCGAAGATTGAAGAAGTGACGCAAGTATAGGCGGCTTCTCTCTGAAAGATCATGCATAAGACTGAGGCCGGCAGACCAGATCTCAGCTTGCCATCCAAGCCAATCGAATCGGTGAAACCAAACCGCCTAAGCGAAGCAGTGAGCCTGGCCGAGTCTGCGAAGATTTCAAGGCAAAACAAGTCGTAACCGAGCGCCGGCAAAACGGGCCCTTGCCCTGTCAAGAAAGGCCTGCGTGGCTCAGGCGGTCACTTGGGGTTGCCGGCTGGAGGGAGTGATTCTTTCCACAGCCGGGCTTTATGCACATGTGGATGCCGCGGAGACACTTTGTGCCGGGTTGGGCAGCGGTGCATCCGCACTTCATGTTGTTATTCCAGCAAATCGGCTGGCCGGATTGGGTCGTGCTTCTCTGAACTCGGCAGAAAGATTCCCTGGCACGAATCTGACCTTCCCCTTTTTGCCTTGGCCATCACCTCTGTCTCCCTTGCTCTTGCGAAGTCGCTTGGCACCCCGGAGCCTTTTCCATCATCATCTCCCCATCGCTTGTTGCTGTTATGCGGCTGATGGTGTAAAAACACAGCAGCAGCGCGCTGAACCCTCTTTTT